GAAAGCAGAACCATAGTATCGGCCGATTAGAAACAAAAACAGAAGACCATGGTTCCTTCAAGACAAATTTTATCAAGACAAAAGGTACGAGAAGTGTCTCCTTAACGAAGATCCTCAGAGTAGTGCTGTACATTATTAGGAATTTCCAACGACGTGATACTGAACTACTGTACTGTAAAACATTTAGGAATGATAAAGTCTACGCCAGGTGTCACTGCAACCCGAAATTGTTTTCATGCGACGTTCAGAGTCAATCGCGAATCTAAGTGGTTCTCAGAAATCGTAAGATGTAATAAGTACTCTCCGAAAAAGCAAACGTAGTGAGGAAACGGAACACTTTTTAAACCGTGCTCGTTTTCTTAGAAATATTTTCGTGAAATTTATGTTTTCAAGTACTGTAAACAATTCAAAGGGTAGATCAGAGGAAGTAGACCGACCGATTTTGATCGGCGACGCTGCATTTTAAAAATCTACGAACACGGTGAAAAATATGTGGCACTGAAATCCCGTCAATTTTAATCTGTGAAATAAAATTTTCTGCTTTTACTCCGCAGAATTTGCATTGGTGATGCGTAGATGATTAAAAAAATAGCACGGCACAGAAACTTTCCGTCTGGTTTTTCTAAAATACTCTTGGAAGGAAAATAGTCATGGATACGCGACCTTTTGATGACTCGCAAACGCGGAACGCTTCAGAATTCTTTTAGTTAGACTTCGGGCTTCAGAATTGTACATTTTTTCAGCTTTCATCAGGGGGGAAGTATTTGCATCCAAAAATGTATCTGTTTCATGCAAGGATCCAAGGAAAATCGCACAAACCAGCGAATAACGTCATACAAATTTATCGAGGAAAGGCGAGCTTCCATCACAGCTGTGTTCTACCGTCGTCGCAAATATTTTTCCCCTTTGTCATTTCGTCGAAAATGACTAGGGAAATTCAAAGAAAACAATCATATTTCAAAAATAGCGCTAACATTTCCTCGACCAAGGTCTTTCGGACCAATGGTTAACACTGACTTGGAAAATAATCTAAAATGTAATCAGTTCCAATAAAAAAGGATTCGAGCTTCGGAACAAAATCAGACAGGCTTAAAAAATTTGTATAGTTATTTGGAACATGAAATTTCAATCCAGCTGATCATTTTAATTTTTATTTTTAATCTTCGTACAGTACTATATTTCATTCAGCGCGAAAAAAAATTTGTGAGGTAGTTTTCCCAGGAAGAATAAACCCTTTTCTAGAAAATGGAGATCAATGCGCTTTATTCTATCGCCGACATGAACGAATCAAGACTAAACAAGACTTGTGTTGATCTGCACAGCTCGCATTGTCAGAAGCACGCGCTACAATCAATTTGAATGAGATTCAATCATTTCCCTGGCGATGTCCGCAAAATTTATGGAAATGAGCATGATGGGCATCGACAGGGGAGGAAGAAACGAGAGAAAAAAAAACAGTCGCAGTCTCTTCCGATGCTTCAATAAAAAAGAAACTTTCTCAACTATCGGAAGCTCTAATCGTAAAACCGCGAAGGAAGCCCAAGCTGCCTTGGCAACTTGCTCCTCGACGTATCAGAAACATCATGAAATTCAAACTCGAGTGAGAGTATCTGAGAATTGGAAACAATGAATTAACGAGTGCCCAGGGCAACCTCGAAACCGAACCCATCCCACCGTTACTCAATGCCTGCTTTCCGCATCTATGCTGCGTCTATCAGAAGAATCACCTCCGACCTGTCCGCGTTGCACTATGGGGTTGACCCAATGGCGGAAAATATAAACAGGAACGATCGGGTCACTAGATGGGTCTTGCTTTAAAACGTCCCCAATTGCCCTCCGGTGGCTTACGAAACAACAGCTCTTAATAATTCAGTGAATCCCTTCTTATGAAAACAGCATCAGAGTCTCGCGGTTTTCGGAGTGGACGAAGAATGTAAGAAGTTCGACATTCCTTTCGTTCTTTTTCCTATTCGCTAGACACAAAATCCGCCAGAAAATCACACGCATTTCGTTGTGCCCACGTCGAAGAATTTTTTCTACACGCGCTCAGGACAATGAAACCAAGACTTCGGATGATTGAAGTTTAGTTTCGCTCAGCTTTTGGTGAAACGCTTCAATTATACATCATTTTTACGCTATCGAGAAATTTACCCACAAAAAAAACCAAGTGCAGATGAGAAATAAATTAACATCCGAACACCAGATTTGATAACGGTGAGTATCAGAACAGCAGGTAAACAAAATAACCTAAAAGGATATGTCTGATTTCCGAGCGCTGTCGATTGCACTTCCCTACTTCATACTTGACCGCTACTTAATTCCGAGCCAACAAAAGCAGTTTAAATACTCAAGAAGGTCAGATCATTTCGTGGAATTTCCCCGAATCACAATTTGTAAATTTGAGTGATTTCGCTACCGTGTATGAAAAAAACAAGAAAAAATTATCTACCACTGAACCTTCACTTACCATTTCCATCTATTTGCGATTTAAAAATCAATTATACAGTTTCAAAATATTATATAGGTTTCCCGAAATCTCTCGGAAAGACCAAGATCTCCATTTGGAATGATTACTAACATAATCTCTCTAATCATTAATTGTGAGCGGCATTCGAGGGTTCAATCTTCAAGTTGGATGAAAACAAATTGGCCGAATCGGCATTCGTGAAAATCATCATGAGGAGAGCCGTGAAACGAATCTGAACAAGAGGGAACTACAGTACAGTACTTCAAAAAATGTGAAAAACAAAATAAACTAAATGCTAGGATTTTGAACTTTTGAAGGTACATTTTTCTAAACATTGAGTGGAAATCATAAAATTCGTGTCCAGTGTGAACCTAGCGATCAACAGAAGTGTACTTTTTTTATTTCTGCGCTCAATCTCCTTACGTATTCCCTTTTCATTGTTTACTTTAGTTTTTGGGAATTCGGTGCTCGCTCCGTAGATGTCATTCCATTAATTTGTAGTCAATTCTCTCGAGACGTATTTCTTCAGTCGTTGCTTTATTGTAGCAAAAACAGCCCAAAAATCATTTTATTCCATACATTACGTCACAGCGTGAAAGAACATAAAACTCTTCCAGGTGCCATGAACTGAAGAACAGGTGACCACGGACTTGTTTATCCAGACGCACGCTGCTATTTACGGATATTACTTCGCTACACATTCGTCATAATCCTGAGTACTAAGTACAGCATGATTTTTCTGATTCATTCGAGCAACAGGTGACAAGAAAAAAGTTGCCACCATCACCTGACCGACGAACGACAGCAATTAATAGCTTGTCTCAATCCATGAACACTACTCTTGTATTCACAAGAGCAAATCTCCGATTTTAAAGGTGACCCATCAACAACTTCGGGTTTATTTTCCGGGTAAACTTGCATTTCGGGGATCAATTTTTAGGCAGCGAAATTTTAAAACTAGGAATGCTGAAAAGCCGAATTGAGGCTAAATCACTGAATTGTTTATCACCTGGTATACCTTGATTGTCCGACCATTAAAAATAATTCCATGCAGTAAACAGTACTACGGAATGAAGATTATTTTCGGTTCGGACGGAACTTCTAGAAAGCTGTCCAAAAGGTTTGCTAGGGTTAATTCACGAAAAGACGATGCAGAAGGTTCGGGAGCACAGGAAAAAAATAGACAATAGCATGGAGATTGATTTGAAAAAAGTTCAGTTCGACCGACCGGGAATACAGTATATAATTCAAGGAGAAAAAAGAACCCTCGAAGAAAAACGGGTCTCGGAGGCAGAGTTCTTCGGAAGACGGGTGTCCATACAAGGGTGGAACTTCTGCACTCTACGCTGTCGCCGCATTGCGCAAGACTCACGCATTAGACAGCACAGCGAACATTTTCTTCGAAGCCTATTTTGTTCTGAAGAGAAACTGATCTGGTAATACTGTACTGTACTGTAGAACTATTTTCTCATTGCTCTCGAAAGATCAGCTCAGATTGTCCCACTCATTTATCGCGGCTTTTGAACTTTTTCGTCGCCGCCGGGACGTTCAGGCATTACAGGAATTTCTTACAAACATTTCCGGCACGGTTAAGAGTGAACGAAACGTTTCGACAGACAACACCACGACCAACGCTTGGAGATTTTTTCAGTAAGTTTCAGATCTAAGAGCCTTGAAAGTAGTTCCAAGTTTGAGCGTTAAAAAACGTTTCCCAGAGGCTTCACCACTCTTCAGGGTGAGCATTATAAAAGAGTAGAAAGCAATTGGAAGTCAAAAACAAAGGGGGAATAATTCAATATTTTCCACAAAAGTACATTAGGGCTATCATTCCTGTCGTCACACCGTAAAATCTCCAAAAAAAATATTTCCCCTCAGAATTATTGAAATGAAAATGGCGGAATTGCCTTGGAAGATCTGGAGGCAACCCTTAGAAAGAATACCACGTAGATTTCAAGAATTTCGAGGGGAAAGCTGGGCTACAACAACAACAAAAATCTGCAGGAAGGGCGCCTTATCTTTTGAGTGGAGAGCAGAACTCTGCTGGGTGAATTTTGCAAAACATTAAAACAAATTGTCAAACAGGACTGATTTTTTTGGGGCCAAAGAATATGTTTTCCCTAAAGAATACATTTTTTTCTGCTCAATTGTATGAAATCTTTTGAATGATTGCAAGAAATGTTGTCAAGACCCTCGTAAAGTACATCGAACAAAACTTCTCATATAACAATGAGCAGAGCATTCAATTTAACCTTTTCCCGAGAAAGACACGGCCAACCACCGTCATCGCAATTAATCGACTTTTCGGATTGTAGCAGCAAATCCGCGTAAGACAAAAAGGTTTGCAATGATGCAAAAAAATGCAAGTTCGTTTTTCGGTTTCATAAATCGGAGACGAAGTTTTCTGTCATAATAAGGGCCAGACAATGTTGTCCAAGAAAATCGCACGATTCCCGGAATACAGTACTGCATAGTGATAGCTGCTTCTCTGATGGTGAAATGTTCCTATCGCCACCTATTCCCAAAAAGGAATCTACTACGAGATCCCACTTGCCGCACGAGTCATGACCCAGCTATCCGAGCGAGGAATGAAACCCATGTCCTGATCATAAAAAAGCCTTACCGCTTCAAATTTGACAGTTTCAAATATTACGTTAAAATTACAGTAATGCAACAAAAAATGTCATTAGATGACGCGCAAAAAAAAAAAATTGTTTTCTCCCATCACCGACAAATAAACGAGTTGGCAACACTCACGCTAGAGGCATCATCAAGACGGAGGCAAGAGGGGAAGTCGAGTTCGGCATCCAGCGCAACCCCCGCGCAAGCCAAATCGGCTTCAGGCTCTCTTACAGCCTCTTCGGCGACAGCAGATGCAGAGGCTGGAGCGCATGCGATGCTGGCTTTGTCAGCAGCCCTCTGCTGCAGAGCAGAGGCTGACAAGTTGGGACTGGCAGCGCAGGACGAAGCAGCCGTCTGGGCTGCGGAACTGGCGGCACTCGCGTCGTCATTGCTACTGTCGGATGCCTCCTCAAGATACTGACGTACTTGTCTCTTTTGGCTGTGAACCACGTGATATTTTGTTGGATTCTCCAACAAAGAGTTCACCTGCTCGGATTTCAACAAAAATTATCGATAAAAAATTAAAAATCTATATTCGAATCTGGGTACACAGTAAAATTCATTTACAACGAATCTTTTTCTTGGTCCCAGAAGTTGCTCCATCGGGACAATGGTGTAAACATTTTTTTAAAACCAAGTATTTTCCTATATAATCTCAGTATAGCGACTTTCTGCCGTGATTATGTGCGCATGGATCACAGAAAATTTGACTAATTGACAGAAATAAAAAAACTTTCAAAAATTTAAACGCTAATCTTTCTGTACAGAAAATTCAGCACAATAGAAAATATGAAGCCAAAATAAAAATATATTTAGCTTCATTTTATAGGAAGCTCAGCCCCACCTAGGCATCAACGTTTTCGAAAATTTTTAATACATTATTGATAAGGATCACATGCAATTCTAGCTTCACCATACAGGTCACAATACGCTCACGAACACGATTTTTGTTTATTAAATTCAAAACAGGCTATGAAGTATTCAGAATAATATAGTACAGTATTACAACAGGCTATGACATATTTATAATAATATAGTACAGTATTCCCCAGCCATTGGTCCTCTGACTGGTACCAGTCTGCCAAACTTGTATTAGCCATTCAGAAATGGCTAATTTTTTTGAAGAAAAGTATGCTTGAGAGGATACTGCTCTACTTCACGGAAAATACGGTTCTTAATGAATAAATACTCTTCTTACACGTGCATTTTCTGTTTGTTTCAGCGTACACTGCAAAAATGTTATAATATTTTTTACAAGATTTTTAAGGTCTAAATTGAGAGCATTGTACAGTATTTCACATTTTAATTGCATCCGTTATTCCACCAGAAGACGTTGAAAATTTGGGATCTTCTTCACAAATTTGTTGTGGAAGTACAGGTGCTTCAGTAATTTAAAGCATTTATTATCCGTTACCCGGAACACTTCATTCCCACAGCCTCGAAGAACCATTAATCTCATTATGGCAAATGTTTCATTGCAAAGAATTTTTCTCCGGTCCCTAGGACTTCGTTGTAACGAGATTTCATTGTAATGTCGAAAAGGGTTACCTGAAGTATATGCGCCGGCACGCTGACAGTCGCACCCGGACGAGTTGAGGCAGGTATAGGAGCAGAGGATGGAGTATGCAGCGCCAGCCGTGCCTGCACAGAGGCTCGCCTTAGTTTCTCTTCTTGCTCCACCATCTGTTGTCGCATGAGCTCTTGCCTCAAATTTGTTCTCATCCTCGGTGTCATGGTCTTGAACGTCGGTGGACTGAAATATGAATAATAGAAATCTCGTCAAAATCGAGTTTTTGAACACACGATTGAGATGACTGTACTTACTCTCCACCCCACAAAGTAAGACATATATGCCATCATGCTGATTTACATTATTTTCATGAGGTCAGGTTTAACTTCCCGATGGAAAAATCAAGAAAATTCAACGAGAATGGAAAATGTGTACGAGCTGTTTTAGACGTCTGAAGCATTGTTATATGCTCATTAGTCCATGAGATCTTCCCCACAGATTGATAGCAAAATTAATTCAGGTAAGTTAGGAGATGGGGAGGGATAGGGATGGGATTTTGAAGGTATCCTTGCATTAACTAAAAAAGGTAAAAGATACAAATGATATTTCACGGGAATGATCGGAACTTGAATTCAGGGTCACAAAATATTTGGGTATTGTTTGTTTGGTTACCCAACCTAACCTCGAACTAAATTAGTTTACATTCCACTAATGGTTACAAAAGTTCTCGAGATATGCATATTTTCTACAGAAGCTCAGAATTGAAAATATCTTCATGTTGCGGCGAAAATAAACACCTGCAAAGGGTTCAACCTCCAAAAGTTGCACAAGTCATCTCAAACAAAAGGTTGAATCATTGGGAGAAAAGATCATCTATTCGTGCTCAATAATGACGCCCGTGGATAAATACAAAAATGTTAAAAACATCGAGTGGATAACGCACAATAATGAGCAAGACGACGTGGAATTTCTGCATATAAAAACGATTGAAAAAGCGAAAAATCATTCAAAAAATCCTTCCGCGAAGATGAGTTGAACAGAACTTCGCCGTTATATCCGCATATTCCACATCGCGACGTGAAAAATAAAATGAACAAAAACAGAGGAAGGAGGTGTTTTCAAGAAAAAAGTGAGGACAGGACATTACAATGAAGACTTCATGAGAGGCGATCAACCGCCAACACACGTAAGATAGCTCTGCAGTAAAGAATGTAGTACACTTTTGAAATCGCCAAGGAAAAAAATTCAACAGAACAATTATATACTGCAGTTTATCTCAGCAGGTCAACATACGGCAATGAATCAACGCCGTACACAGTATTCGAAGGAATATGCAAATTTGGCCACAAGCGGTACGAAGAAATTCCATGCCCATCAATCATGAATTGGCCCGTGCACACAGGGAAATGTTGCCTCTTGCCTTCATGCGTACTTCAACAGTAAGAACGAGGACAAAAATTAAAAACGACCAAAATCTCAATTGAAGTACTGGTTTATTATAGTACTGAACTCTGATATGTGCAAAGCAATTGAACAAAAATAAATCGAATACTTTTCGAATCAAGTACGCCATTGATATCCTGAGAGGTGTTGACCCTCGGCTCAAGGAAGTCCTCATGGGGACAGAAGACTAAGGCTCTGATTGGTAAGACTGGAAGCAGAATTTCCCACTACACCCAAAAAGCCTCGAAGGAATGCACTTGAAAGTTTTGGAGTTGCACGGTAACCGAAAACGAATTAGTCCCTGCATATTGGCAATTCTCAGAAAAACAGGAAACCGCTCGATTTTCGACGGGTCTATTAAAAATGGATTTCCCCATTCAATTTTGAAAACTATTAAATTACCGAGAAGAAAAGAAAAATTTGTAAAATGTACACGTTCTTCCTCTTATCGTTCGCGCTAAATTTCGTAGTCGGAGAATTCCCGAACCCATACACTCCACCTCATGCGGCGGTAATCAAGCATGAAAAGAATAAAGCATCATCTCAAACTCGAAGCGGATGATCGAGAACATATCCTTTCAGGTCCACTTCGTGGCTGAGATCACGTTCTCGCTGCCTGAAGCTCTAATGGTGCATAAATCGTCGAAAATAAGATATTAAACAATGCATGTCATCACATGATATACAGTACTGTATTTGAAAGATGGTCAAGGAAAATCTTGAACGGAATCGGTTCTGCATTCTGTAAGGCATTCCCTCATCTCTTGCCACGTAAAATTATCGTTACACATGAACAGCTCTAGACTGATGAGCTACTTTATCGCTGTCGCAATACGCAGAAGTCGTGGGGCACGAAGAGTTCGAACTGAAAAGCTCCAGATGGACATGAACAGTGTACAAGAATTATCTCGCACTGGAGCCAAACAATTGGAACAGCATCCAAAAAATACTATAAATGACCTAATACAGAAGCTGAGAGTCAAGAAGGCAGTTTCCGCCATGGGTTACACGGAAAAAGGCTCCAGACAGGTTATTCACGCGAAATGACACACATTATTGAACTGAAAACCGCCAAAAAGTTCCGAAAGAGGTATGTAATCTTCATATCCTGATGTTTACGATTTCATCAGTTAAAAAAACGAAGGCCTTGAAGTTCTTCGTCAAGTAATACATGCCATAAAAATTCCAACTGCTGAAAGAAAAACCACAGCAGGAATGAGCGAAACTACCTAGGTTGGTTCATAAATTTTTTCAGTCTTGTGATTTTCGCGGATGGGTGGGAAAGGGCTTCATTTCTATGAAATTTTCTTCTATCAGCACGATAGATGACCACATTGTTCCAATATTTGCAAACTGAGATTGAAAAAAAGAGAACGCACGAGATGAAGATGTACCTCGTGAATATTAAAAAATAATGGTTACTCAGGGGCCACATGTTTTATGGATTTTAAAGACGTCGAAGTTCACCAAGTAGTGGTACTGTACCTTGAAGTACGAAAACCTCGCAGTACGAAAGTTGTGTGGAATGAAAGTATGTACTGCAATTTTTCACCCTCGTAATGTGCAACGAACAAAATTTACAGTACAACGAGTTTTGGAAAAAACAAAAATTGTACTTGGAAACATTTCAAATCTTATACAGTTCTCACAATCTGTCAACTACGGCCCAAAGACAAGTGTTCTTATCTCGCTTTTCGTGCGTTAGTGATACTGAATGTGAGAGCTGCCTTGAAATATCAATTCGTGAGCAAGATACGACGGTTCTAACAAAAGTTCTCGAAATAGAAATGAAAATGACGCCTAATCGAGCTGAAAAAAATATATTCTTTTGGGAAAACATATTCTTTGGCAAAAAAAATCTGCCTTGTTTGAAATTTTTTTGGATGTTTTACGAAATTCACCCTGGCAGAGTTTTGCTCTATACACTCAAAAGATGAGGCGTCCTTCCTGCAGTTTTTGTTGTTATAGCCCAGCTTTCCCCTCAGAATTCTTGAAATCAAGGTGGCATTAATTCCAAGGGTTGCCTCCAGGTCTTCCAAGGTAATTCCGCCATTTTCATCAACAGCCAAAGAATATGCTTTCCCTGAAGACTAATTTTTTTTCAGCTCGATTATACGCCATTTTCATTTCGATTTCGAGAACTTTTGTTAGAACCCTCGTGTTGCCCGTCGGGGTTTTCAACTGAAAAAAAAAGTACATTGCAATATTCCTCGCCAAATAGCAGAAGCTTCCTTCTAGTCTTCTCGTTGAAATCGTCAAGTGGCTAAAAAGATTCTGCCACAGAACCTCATGCAAAAATACTGACGAAACCTGTGAACCATCCGGAGCAGACTACGCACGAAGCGGGAAATCGAGATCCACACAAAATCAATGAACCTCGCAGGTAAGATTCAACGCTCATTCGAACAACGGCATTCTCGGGACAGCGATGGAAAACAGCACCTTGATCCCATGCAGAAGCATTCAACTGCATGCAGACGCAGGGTGGTGGTCCTGGATGCCAACATACAACAACTAACTTTGACTGAGTCTGCGAACGGGTCGTAGGAACTGCAGCTTTGTGCGAACCCTCTGCAGAATCAGCAGACTGAGCACAAGGCCGCCGGTCTGGCCACAGTCTCAATCCAGCAGTCAGTTTCGGGGCTTTAGCAAGCAGCGGCCCTTCATCCTGCAGACACAGTGCATTCGGGATGTTGAAATTGCTCTTGGAGCTGGCTGCTGCACTGGGGTGCAATAGATTCGCGTTCAGCGCACGCGCAGCAGACGAGTAAAAGTTAGACTGACGCTGCAACATCAGCTTCCGTTCGCACTCGGATCGGTCACAAAATTGAATGCATTTAGCTTCCGGTTGTGCGCATACGGGTGCTTCGCCGGGTTTGGGTCCCAGGCACGGTGGGGCACTCCGAGAGGCAAACTGCAACCCACCGCCTCCAATGATCGCCCCGACATCAGCGCCGAGTAGCGTGTCATCCGCACTAGTCACACTGATTTCTGGAGCGAGGCTGGCACCCAACATGATCCCCATCCGAGCTATGATTTCGTCAAATTCACGAATCTGCCGCCCTGTCGCATCTTCCACAGCACTCATTGCGGTGTATTTTGATGAACAAGTCGACGATTCGACAGCCTATGGCTATCACCGGCAGATTGCTTCTGGTTCCGGAGAATTACCATTATAGTGGTATCACTGTCACGAGTGGTGGTGTACCGAGACAGACACTATCTCTCTTGTCATTATCCGACTGTCTGGGATTTGAATCACCGCAACAACAATCTTCGAAGACCGCTTATACTGTACTCGAGAAAATGCCACTCGCCTCGCGTGAAATCACTGAGACACAGGAAGGGTTACACAACTGAACCTTCTTCGCAGAAATTCAACCTCATAACAACTGATTTCCAATGCATCAGTTCCCATGGAACAGTTTTTAAATCAGGATTTTTTTTTTCTGGAATTGCAATAGGGGCACATGAAAACGCTGAATTACATGCATTGTTCGAAACGCAGAACGGCATATAATGTAACAGGATGCTGGGAAACCTCGCAATCAAGGATAGAGCACGCGCGGACGAATTTTCGAAAAATCAAGAATGCACACGCGCACCTTTCGATCAATACACTTTCCAAAGCCGGACATGCAAAAGGGTTCGGAACAATTACGCTGGCTTCGGTAGATCATGGTCCATTAGAGTTCTGTTTCATGGCGGATACGAAAATGACAAGATCACCTACATTAAAGAAAGGCACTTCAACGACCGAGCCTTTTTTTTAATAGCATCGAAAGAGAAAATGTTATCGTTGAAAAAAAAACTTTAAAAAAACCTTGTTTCAAATTGCACATCAAAATGTTGCACATTAATGTGAAATATTTGCGCAAACGTTCAAAAATAACTATCAAAGGCTTCAGAACAACAAAAAAAAGATATGTAATCTAAGTTCTCGCGACTGCCCAGATCCCATCCCACATACCCTATTCACGCGAATAAAAACGCCCTTTTTCCAATTTTTAAACTCAGTTGCGTGCTTGTATTCGCAGATGTGCGCAATTCCCGTAATTAGGCTTCTGTCCGAAAATGTTCCTGCTCGCGACTCACGAAACGATACAGCACATATTTCCTTCAGTTCTTCTGGAATTGACTTTAGAAATTATCAAGAAATGGTCAGCTGTTAACACTTCAAGATGCACGAGTCATTAGCCTAAGGGAAGAGAAAGGATCATGGGACACTGATAGTTCATTTTCTGGAGAAATCCTGTATTTAGTCGAAAATGTCAGGTTCCGGGAAAGTCATAACACCAGCAAAGTAAGTGGGTACTAGCGCTCGCCTAGCGATGGACTTCACATTTCGTGCATGAAAAATCTAGGGTAGTGCTTATATTCGTGTAAATACGGTACTGTATTGCGAATAAAAATTATGAAAGAATGACTAGTCACTCTCCAGAAGAAGTCGTTCAAATACTTTTCTGGATTCTTGATGCTTGGCCAGAGAAGGGAGAGATATTGTACAGGAGAGCGAAACAAAATAAATCTTCGGCTGGAGATTCTTAGAATTAGTTCTAAAACGATGCAGTGACTTGCATGCTTCATGGTTCTTGGCGATGGGACTAGCGATGAGAAAACGGAAACACGCGAAAAATTAAACGCTGCAACTCGAAGTAGTTTTCAGATTTTGCGAGTTTTGGAGCTGTGGAATATCAAGAATTTGCATGCTTCATGGTTCTTGGCGATGGGACTAGCGATGAGAAAACGGAAACACGCGAAAAATTAAACGCTGCAACTCGAAGTAGTTTTCAGATTTTGCGAGTTTTGGAGCTGTGGAATATCAAGAATGAGAAAAATGTTCATCAGCATTCATGGGATGCACATAGGTTTTTCCTTCCCCTGGAATTCTCATCTTCCGTCTGCCAATCTTTCAAGAATTCTTACAAAACTTCAGTCTGGAGAAATCGACAAAACTCGGATGCATCATGCATGTAACACAAAATCAGCGTCAAACGAAGAAATGTAGTACATTCACGGCATTTACAATTCAAGGTTTGCACGAAAATAACCCCGCACGTACGATGCAAAACTCCAAGAAATGTGAATCTATTTCAAATGTACGAGTACATCAAGTGTCTCAAAAATTAGGTTTAACCCCAAAAAGATTTTGAGCGCTCAATTCAGAAAAAAAGTAAAATAAATCGTCAATTTAATCAGTTTGATCCCTCGTCATTTCCGGCAGAATAAAATCATACCCAACCGTCGTACCATTGATAAATCCCTAGAAGTGTGTACAATTGAACTACACCAGACCAACAGCTGGTATTCAGTTTAAGGAGCCATTCGTTGAACGCGAATTAGAACAGAAGTACTGTACTAAAATATTTCGATCTTCTTTTTACATCATAATACTTGACAATAACCGATACTTGTTACGTAGTAGATGAAGAAAGCGGACGTAAGAATTTTTCACTTCAGTAGATGGCATAATTTCAGAAGATCGCATCACTTCCAGTTTTCACTCCTCACATACGCCTGTTCTTCCCCACGAATATAAATTATGGTACCTATAACTATTCCGTAGATTCGCAGAAGTGTGATTCGTCGTTATGGGCACATCAGCGCTCATCACACCAGAACATTGCACAAACTGAAAATTTGTAAGAGATTCGACACTTGCTCCGGAAAACCGCTTCAATATTACAGGAGATGGAATTGACTTACTTGGCTGTTGATGCTGGTTTGGATTGAATCTCGTAAAGATTCAATGATTTGCCATCCGCTGAAAGGACGGCAAAATCTGGACATCGATCCCCCAGTTGGGTAGTGTCTATCTCCACAACCATGTCGTAGGAGAGATCGATCCCCGATTCGTTCCCGGTGGATTGCATATCATCCATGTTAACAGCTTGCATGCTCTGCATTACGTATCAACGCACTCGTTCTCATGCAAGGATAATTCTCACTTTCGGGAAGGGATTAAATTCAGACATTGACTTTCCTACGAGGAAAAAAAATCGACACATTTAAATCAACACACAACTTTTAAAAAAATCTAAGGAAAAAAACTCCCAAGCATCTCCACTTTATGGACCATTGACGTCGATGTGAGATGGAAAAGGGAACAGCAAAAAGAGGAACAAGGAGGACATAGATAAGGGGGAATGCATCTCAACAAAACAACCTTACTAATTCGTAACGAAACGTTTCATCGTAATACGATGCAGATGAACTGCACTGGCACGATTTTGTAAATACAGGGGAAGCAACATGGAAAAACGGCACAGCACTCTCAATCACAGGAACAAAACAAGAGAATAAAAACCTGATCATCCAGATGAGGGAACCTGACAAAAACAGAAAATCACATCCGCTCTCCTAACACCAACGAAGTAACACATCAAAAACATATTTTTCTTTATCACAGCTAACGCAAGAAGACATCATCTTCTACTGGCACCTGGGTTGATATGCTTTATCAGCTGCCACAGTAAGCAAAACACGAATACAGAGCGACCAGCCAGGTACGGGATTCTACAGCCATTCCAGCAGCAAAGTACGGTCGTGGATCCTACTTCCCAGCTTTGCTTTCCAAGCGGTCCAGATTCTGCAGGACAATAGCAGGTCAAACTCCTGGAAAACATTAGGAAATCACCCAATTCAATTAGCTTCATGATTCTAGAGTCTCCTTAAGAAGATTCATTCGGAAATACAAAATCTAATCGAATTTCATTTTAATAAAGCAACCAATACCATTACAAATATTGCACTATCATACTTATACGGTTAAACTCTCTCTACAAAGATGTTCTCTGCGTAACAGATCCAGTTTTTTTAACCGTAGGGCTCTTCACTTATTTCAAACGTGTTCGATAAAACAATTTTTTTCTGGTTCCCTGAATTTTCGTTGCAGAGAGTACACCAGCATAAACTTCACAGAATACATGCAGACATCGATATAATTTTCAAACATATACGAACAACATGAGAAAAATTCATTATACGAAGCGGAATGAAGGTTGCCGACTTCGTACTGGCACTAAGCATACATACCAGCAACAGTGACGGCTGGAGAGTCCTCAGGTTCGCATAGTCACTCAATCCTAGGCTGATGAAGACATTCAAAAATGTTCTGATCACCACCACTTCAGACCACACAAGGCAAAATCCATAATTATCTGAAATATAATTTGAGGTTGAAGTATAGTCCACTAAAACAGAAAGCATCGTATTACACACAATGTAGGGTCGAACAGCTCTACACTGAAGAGACGCAAGAAATTATGGTTACTACAGATATATGCAAAATTAAATACAGTAATTTAATGGAAAAAGTGACGGAAATGAAGTGTGTCATTCGGACTGCTTTACAGTATTTGAACAACTGAAAATAATTTGACAGATTCACTCCACTTCTTTCAATTTTCAATAAAATATGAACATTCCATCAAAACTGACTGAATTTCTCCGATCGGATTGGAGACGTTCATCTTTTCTTCATAGGGCGTATTTACGCATGCAAATATTTTTTGCAGAATTGATAACCATGACTTCAAAACGTGCGACCTTTTAATTGGATTGAAAGAGGCCATAATAACCATAACAAGAAGAAAAATTTCACAGGAATAAGGAAACTGAACTGACCACCATAACATTCTCTTATTACCAAAATCCACACAACGGCGGTCCCTTCCTATCCTCTTATTTTTCTTCTGTCAACCATGCACATAGTCCACATAATTCTCCACAAAAAAATACTGCGCATTTGATCTATCCATGACGTAAAAAAAGATCTCAGTCTAACATTGCATCTGTGTAAACAAGATCACAAATCCGTGAGGAATGGTGCCAAATCAATAACATTCGAATTACAGCATCCATTTCATCCGACTCATTTTACTAGTTCAATTAACAGCTCATCATACAAAGGCGTCACCTGGAAGCAAGTGTGGCATATCACAGGGAAGCCTCTCGCAGGCAAACAATTCATCCGAAGAGTGGGTCAGATCTTGGGGAACATTGGAGACTAGCAATGCTTGCGTCATTACCGGTGATCTTGCTAAGCTTCATCAAAAATCTGACATTCCAAAACACACTTTGAAGAGGGAAACTTTCTAAACGCAGACGCATTGAAAGTAGATTGCTGTACCATGCACTTCAACCTCAGGGGAAAAATTGGAGAACAGTCAAACTTCAAATTTCATGTGCAGGATATTCAATGCACAGCTTAGCATGAACCACCATCGTGATGAACCCTACACGGCACATCCAGACTGGTTTCATGAGTTGGTATTAGCACACTCGCAACAGAAATTCACGCCAATCTCTTCCCAGACCCACTTTTCCTGCAGCTCAGGTGGCACGAGATAATCTACATTGACCGGAGATGCTGAGCCATGGTTGTGTTCACCGATTGTAAGATCATAGGAACCATCACGCTGTGAAGCCACATACTGCAAATACTGCTCATTGGTGATTTCGCATGAATCTGACCATCGCTTCAGCACCTTGACAGTGAATGCTTTTGGGCGACACTCAAACTGACCAAACCAACATTTTTTGTGTATGCAGCTGGCTTCACGAAGGTAGCGTGGGTAGTGGTCTTGTCCAAGGTCTGTCCACCCAAGCTCGTATTTACATGTCCAGAGATCTCCGTTTCCCTGTGTATGCTTGAGATCCTTCAAGCGCTGATGAGCTTTTTCACGCAACAGTTCCTCGGGGCTTTTGGAGGAGTTTGATGCAGATGAGGCTGCTGTAGGCATGTCTCTGCGTGAACGTCCGAAGTGTATGTTGGAGGGAATCTTTGGTTTGCTATGAATCATAACTTGACCATCAAGTACTTGCCGGTAGCCAGAGTCAACAGAAAACGGGAGACTATTGGGGTCTCTGGCTGCAGGCTGGTCCCCAATGTAAGAGTCTATATCAAATGGAAGCTTGTCATAGATTTCTGGTGATTCGGGAGTGCTGGGCTTCACAAATGCCATATAACGGGAGTTGAAGGCTTGACCAAGGGCAGATCGAAGAGCTTCGTTTGACTTCTGATGACATGGCACCTTGACCTTGCGTTTGGTTCCCTGTGGATTTCCTGGCTCCTGGAGGGTCCTCAGACTTGCGTCAACACCCATCCCAAGCCTGTTGAGGCCATCGCGAATGCTTTGCTCGCCTGCACTTCCAACCGTTTTGAGCAATTTCACTCGTTCTGCAGCTTTCTCTGAAACGTGGAAGAACATTACATAACTGTCTACGAGGAACATTACATAACTGCCTACGAAGGAACATTACATAACTGTCCACGAATTAAGGAAGAGTGATCCTACGCAGGAATTACACAGAAGAACTGCACACATTCAAAAATTTATTGAAAGTTTTTCTTCGGACTCATCATTGCACATGAAAAGTCAAAAATTTCGAATTAAATTTTTAAAATATCGAAAAAATTGCGCCAAAGAATTAAATCAAGTAGGAAGAATTTCGTTCGGTGCATGTTATTTCAATTGCTTCAGGGGGGGGGGGGGGTTCAAAATAATTGAACACATGGACGATGGGATACTCCTCAACTCTATCGAACAACAAGACCACAAATTAAATCTGATGCAAACGTAGGCACGAACATTGGTACATGGCAAAACAAAGGAAAACGGATTTTTAAAAATCCCACAGATAATGATATTCCAACTCAGGGCACTTGTACACGAGAGGTGACCCACCGAAAAGTTCACTGAAAAAAACTTACCAGATAAAGCCTTGAGCTGATCCGCAGCCAAGGAAGAACTGTCAAGGGTACTGTCAGTGCCCAACGAATCAACAGCCATTGCCTGGATGCTGGCTTCAGTATTGCTAACAGCCATGCCACACACCCCAGCTATTGTCATGATCAACAGGAACCACGATATGAAAGCAATCCTTCTGTGTCGTACTGTCTTACTCAAGCAGCGACTGATGAGCATTGTCCAAAATATGATTCTTGGATCATTGCGGCCCTGTCTGCACCACAACACGTAATGTCAGCCAGGTGCCACAAAATTTAAACGGTCATAATTGCACAACAGTAACGTGAATCATTCAATCAAAATTCGCACGTATTCCTTCTTGTCAAAAACATTGCACACTATGTCAACCTATGGAAGAGTAAACATATTCACACTGAACGACACAAATCACGTCAGGGAATCGATGGAACGAAGACACTTATCTCCGCAGACACGCGACAGTTCCTAGAACCAAGGCTCCCCGGAGATCAGACGGTAGCCGCGACAGTGGTCTGACTTCCCACAATTAGCTCAAAGCGCACGGTCTGACACGACAGATGCCCGAACAATGAACATCAAATGTTCAATTTATTATATAGGTGTCGCTGCTTGCTCGATCGTTCTGTATCTAAGTGCGCTTCCCTCCCTTGGGTTAAATGAGCGTATCTCGTCGCTTTACTAGGAAACTGAGGACATACAGTACCTTTCTAAAGTGGGAAAGCTTCAAACTCTGAAGAAGATGCCCCTTACACTAACCAAGTACCATACCTTCCAAATTGCATGAAACGCTCTTATCCGGGAAAAAACGCGGATAATTTACATGCACAGCACGCACTGTACAGTAGGTCTAATTTATTCTGTGCAGGCTTGGACATCACTCCTGTAGCTCATCTATAATGCGTTGGAAGACTACAAAAAATAAACGACAGGCGTCACTAAAAACTGCTTGTGTATTAATAACTGCTGCTTATAGTTGCCCATGAGTAGTACGCCAACTCAAAAAAGGATTTTCGGAAATGCAGGGCAGCTTTTTGCATATACAGTACTGTACCAGCCAACTGCCAACGCATATACTGTACTGACCTGCAGTAGTAAGTTAACTGCTGGGGGGGGGGGGGTTGCTGGCTGATGAGCACAACCAATTTCAGGAAAATGGTCATATCGCCTGATTTTTTCAGGAACAGTTTTAATGTTCTAAGTAGCGTAATTTTTAGAAACCAAATTGCCCAATGTTTGATTGCTGGTTTACTTTTTTTTTGGACAGTTTATAAAAGTAAAAACATAATGTTTGTGAGCTAGAATGTTCGATAGCAGGGCCTTTGCTGATCAAAACCTCAATCAATGCTGTAGTTACACAAAATAAATGAATAATTCCTAAAATATTTTAATAAACAGTTTATTTGCTGGAGCTACTCCTACAGCTCGCTTGCATCAAACTTTACACCATTTCGCTCGGATGATTTCCCAAAAGTTCTCCAGCTGAATGAAAACATCCATTTATATACAACTTCGTATCCAGATTGGCAAAAAAAAGGCTTGAGTCATCTGCCAGTACAGTACTTCTTCACATTGCACACGTTCTTCTTATAACAGTACAGTACTGCATATACAGTACTGTAATTGTTTATGCTGTATGGTAAAATTCTTAAATAATTGAACTGCTTCACTTTTAATTCTCGTATGCAACTTCCACATGCATGTTATATTTCAACCTTAACACACTTCGAGACATGTATGACCTCATAATCCCAAGCCCAGCACATATAGCCAAACCTATAATTACAAATGCTAAACAGAAATGCCGGGACAGAATGAGAAAGGGCATTTTGGAACTTTAATAAATATAATGCCTTGAGCTGATCCGCAGCTGTGTCAAGTCGAGTTCAGTACAGATCTAGCAGTGAAAATGAAATATCAACACTTCTACTAACTTTGCCTTTCCATTTCGATTTGCAGAGGTCGCCCCTTTCCTCGGATTTGGGGTTCCTCTCTCTATCCAAGACAATATGGCGCTCAATTTTCACATGCTTTATTCAGCAGAAGCTCATTCGCACACGGCCGTGTGCAAAGAGGAAAATCAGTTTCAAGCCAACTCGTCCAGTTCATCTACAATTTTAAATCAATCTCGAAAAATCTACTGGAACTGTTGGCGCGGTTTTTAGTGCTTTTTCCTGGTGCCACATTAAATTGTAAGCTGTTATCAATGTTATGATATTTGCAGGAAGAACGTCTTGATCATTCCGTAATCATTCTCTCATTTTCTTTATCCTCATTCAGCGATTGAAATATTTCGCACATTTTGATTCAATTGGACGTATGTATCGTGCGTTTTGAGCAACTCCATTGCCAGGAGAACAATTTTTGGACCTACCCCCACATCAACGACCACAAAAAATGCGATCAGGGGATTTGTTAGATTGTTTTGAAGAGACAATGTCGGTATCAAAAATGTTGTCTTGGCTGGAGAACCCAAAAATTGTCGGCAATCCAGCTCACATATGTCAGTGTAGCCACTAATACTGTGCATAGATTGTCCAAAAATGGTTCCACGCCTAGAAAAATTCTTGGTCTTGACGCATCCCTAAAAATGTTTATAAAATCTCACATAAAATACCATCACATCAAACTTCATTTTATTGGTGAAGTAACAATGTACCTCGGTAACAATGTAGTTTTCTGAAATGGCAGACAGCAATTTAAATTTTTGAAGGGTTTGAATTTTCAGGCCCCTTGAGATTGCTGTGCTGTATTTGCTGGTTGGTCATTATTTTTTACGTTTTTTTTTTAACACAGAGGGGATTCCATCCTTATACAGTAAATTGCTTCCGCTAATCTTATAAGCCAATTATTCATCAATCAAATCAATTTATGAATATTTTGAAAATTAATATTAGTCCACACCTGAGACAATTCCGAAAAGCCAGCATTTTTCGAATTTTCCTTAATGGGTGTAATTCAAACCCGTCTACACTCAGCAGGGGTTTTGTGGTTTTTACTTTTTATTGATGCCCTGAAGCTTCTCATTTTGATGCAACATTCAGCCAGCATGCTCTCTTCAGCACTGAATTCTGAAATAGCTGTGTTTATGGATTGATTTATGAATACTGCATTTTTTTCTACCGAGTAGTTAGTACTGAAGAGCACTTAGTTTTACGATTCAGTGATATCTTCACAGCCTGTCATTCATTGCGTCGTGTTCGCATGGATTCTGAATAGGAGAATGAAGTCATGAGCAGGAGATTTATTGAGCTCCGTGGTCCCTCGTCGAAAATCAGCAGAATCGGTAGATATATTCAGGTCGATCATGTGACCCGCTGTATGCAAGTTCGTGCTTGAGCATTAAACGCGTTCAATGGGAGATATTCCCTGTAAGAGCCGCTCTATATAGTTCATTGCCCAAACCCGCAACCCGGGTTCCCTTCAGAAAAGCGTGTTTTATCTCAATGGGATCCGCACGTGAGACCAGCACAAAACGAGTCCCAGCAGACAACTCTCCTGCTTGTTGGGGTTACCCTACCCAATAGGAATTCCACGAGGGGCCGCGACGTCGAGTTGAAAGAAGGACTCTATATACTTGTTCAATATTTGGATCGAATAATTGTTGGGCGAAAGCCGGTGATTTCGAGCCCGGTGTGGCCCCTGGTGGATGTTCAGAGGGAATTTGATGGTTCAAACGTTAGTCGTGACCGTTATTCCGAACAAAAGACTCTCTGAGGATTTATCTGCAGATCTGAAAGAAATGCTGTTCGCGATTTCCAAAGAAGGAATACTCCTCCAAGATGATTCGTTCTTGTTATTCGATGCATGATATACGCATCAAACAAACAGAAAAGCATTCTTCTGCTCAATTTGCACGCGTTTTCGGGAATTTGCTGAAAGTTTCCATGCTGCAGCATATTTGACTTTATATGTCACATGAGAAGTAATGTAACTTGGTTAATATTATCCATATCCACGATCACATTACAGCACTTAATTTCAATCCTTAGGCTTGCTGATTCTGTAAAATAAGAGACCTTGTGAAATTCTTTTCCGATTTAAAATTTAATCCGCTATTCATCGGTGTTCTAAAATTCTACGAAAGGATTCAACTTATTTTCGCTGATATATGAGATTACCAGGTTTGAAAATTTCGAGGAATTTTTGTTTCTGTGAAATTAGTTTAACTACCAAACTGCTGTACAAAAAAAATTTCAAAATCGTGAGTGAATTTTCCATGCAGATGATGCTTCGGAAAAGGATTTATCCAATTTCAATCGGCTAGATTTTGGCCCGGGGTTTTGAAGTTTGGCGGCGAACAAATTCTTCGTTATTTCCTATTAAAACCGAAGCTCGGTTTAACTTATGAAGATTCACAAGAATTCATTTCCGAAGCTAGGTGAAAAATCAATCAAATTTATTGTTTCGGTGTTCGTTGGTTATTCGCTGACATGAGAAAAATTAAACAGTAAAAACACCAGAGAAGTGTTTCAGCTATCGCCCTTCCTTATGTACGTACCCTTGATTTTCCGATTATTGTACAAGGTATTTTACAAGCGAAAAGAAGTGCCGAAAGGTTCCTTTCAAAACCTATAGTAATTAAAATGTACAGAAGTTATTCAAGATATACCTAATTTTTTCGCCCCATTAGATGATTCCTTAAAATTTTCATTTTCGACTTCAACTGCACTGTACAGTCAAAAACTGATCAACGCTCGTAAATGTCGAAAAATTCCTGCAAACATAATAGCATCATTCTTTGTTTGGATATCCTATTAAATTAAGCATGGCGCCGTTTTGAGCATCGTGCGCCCTGTTTGGATGACACGACTTCATTGCACTTTCACCGAGCTGACTTGATTTGGTCATCTTACCAAGTACTAATTCAATTTCCCAGATTTTTGCAAAGCGCTTCCTTTATTTGATATAGATCAATAATAGCTAATACTATATAATTTTAATATAATTTTAAAATAAGTAGAATTTTTTTGCTGGTCCCTTGAAGTTCGACTTATAGAGAGGTTTGACTATATATATTAATATACTGTATATATATACATATTTAATATATACAGTATATTAATATATATAGTCAAACCTCTCTAAGTCGAACTTCAAGGGACCAGCAAAAAAATTCGACTTATTTTAATTCGACTTAGGGAGGTTTTGAATTAGCTACAATGAAAAGCCCTCTTGTCCTGGGAAAAATGGAAAAATTGCTCAAAATTGTAAATTGTAATATTTGAAGGCTTAAATTACTTTGTAAATGAGTTAAAAGCATCATGAACTTTGATGCAGAGTTTATTTGCCCAATTAAGTCTCTCACCTCCTTTTAAAACAAATAAAATTAATGTTTTATTGCTGTTTTTTCTTGCTTGTGTAAAGAAAATAAAAGCCAACAGGCCACAG